CATTAGCACCTCTAGTAATATATTTACTGAGAAAAATGTTGATGTGTTCAATACTTATTTTACCCGCTGTATCTTCTGGACACTTTTCACCTTCATTTACCTTCAGTGAAACAGCATCTTCATCATCCGAGTCCCTGAACTCAATGCAGATGGCTATGTTCCGAGCCTAAGGTCAAAAAGAACGAGACAAGTCAACCCTGTAGGAGTGCTGCAGCTTAGATTCCAAGAAGAAAGAAAGAAAAGTCGCTGGAGAATAATTCCTGCCCTCCTCCCCTCCTGCATCAAATGAACCTGTGAAACAACTACCTTTGCGAATGACTTCTGGCTGTCGTATTTCAAGTGCTTCGGGTAAACGTAGAGGTGATTGTTGTAGATGGTGAAAGGCTGAGAGCATTTGGCGATGCACGGCACAAACTCCTCCACTTCAAAGAAGATGCTGCTCCTCTCGTTGGCGTCAAACTGCTTCACAGGGATGTAGGATGAGGTAACACAATCTGCACRCAGAAAMAGGAGAGAGGAGTCCAAATAAAAGGTCTGCTGAGGAGGAGCAGCTTTCATCTCGTCCGCTGGATCCAAGAGGTCTTACTCGTCAAGTCAGGGGCRACGCTGTCGATGGTGACATCAAGGTTTCCTAAAATTACAGGCAGCTTGGCCATCTTCTCTGGCCTGTGAAAAAGAGAAATAAACTCAATATATCCTCCCAAAAACTAAATTAGAAACGGGCTTAAATCTAGAAATGGTCAAAGAGTATCAGAGTGTATTAACAGATGTTTTCCATCAGAGGTTCTCCAGCAATGGATGGCTTTACTAACTTTCTGAAATCAGCCAGCAGTTTGAGCATGTCRTCGTTGGACAGTTTGTTGCTGTCCTGCCTGTACAGAGCTGAGAAGCGAGAGGTTTTGTCAAGCGTCCCCGAAGCGTCTTTGAACAAAGGTCTGAAAAAATAACCCCACAAGTGTCAAGTTAGTGTTGGCCTGCAAACACTGTACTCTTCTTAAAAACTAAAATCTCCAAGTTATGAACAAAAAAATGATAATAGCCCACATAATAATAATATATTTTTCCCATGATAGATCAATTGACTGTTTTTGATTAAAATGTTATTTTTATAAT